CTGCAATGCGATGCGGTGGCTAGTAAAGCGACCAAAACGCTGGCTTGCATCCATAGATGCCTCTCAAGCAAATCCCGGGACGTCATTCTCCCCCTGTACTCGGCCTTAGTGAGGCCGCAGCTGAAGTACTGTGTCCAGTTTTGGGCTCCACAATTCAAAAAGGATGTGGCGAAGCTTGCGAGAGTCCAGAGAAGAGCCACGCGCATGATCAGAGGTCAGGGAAGCAGACCCTACGATGACAGGCTGAGAGCCCTGGGGCTCTTTAGCCTGAAAAAGCGCAGGCTCAGGGGTGATCTGATGGCCACCTACAAGTTTATCAGGGGTGACCATCAGTATCTGGGGGAACGTTTGTTCACCAGAGCGCCCCAAGGGATGACGAGGTCGAATGGTCACAAACTACTTCAAGATTGTTTCAGGCTGGACATAAGGAAGAATTTCTTTACTGTCCGAGCCCCCAAGGTCTGGAAGAGTCTGCCACCGGAGGTGGTTCAAGCTCCTTCATTGAACACCTTCAAGATGAAACTGGATGCTTATCTTGCTGGGATCCTATGACCTCAGCTGACTTCCTGCCCTTGGGCGGGGGGCTGGACTTGATGATCTCCCGAGGTCCCTTCCAGCCCTGATATGTATGAAAACCCTGTCACCTTTTTAATGGTCTTGATGTTCCACTAATCAAGCTAGCCCTTCTGCAGTTTTGCTGTCTGTTAGCTACTTGTGGTCTCTTTTCTATTTCACAGCCCTACAGACTGTTTTTAGTTCTTTTCAAACCCATGGAGTCTAGTCTTCAATAGCTACAGTTTTAGCTTTTGGCTAAGCCAAATGTTTCCACATTTTCAAGTATATGTTTGGGTTGGTAGGGACATGTATTTATTCTCAAATTTCCTTTGATGTCAAAGAGTAATTCCTTTAAGGTATATTTACCTTTAAATTTTAGAGCTCAAGATAAAGCAGCAATGCAGCTCAGTGAACTGGAGGAGGAGATGGATCAACGGATACAAGCTGTAGAACACAAAGTCAGGAAAGATGTGAGTATTTCATAATGATTAGGGTGCTCTTGCTCTGTTGGAAGTCAGTGGCAAGATTACCATTGACTCTTGACTTCATCATGGTGCAAGGGATAGATCTCAAGTGCAGTTTTTTTCAACTTGTTTTTTGACATTTAATTGCTTGTGATACATCTTTGTGCTTAGTTTGCATGGTGCCTTAAACTGAATATGTGGTATGCTCCGGTTCCCATGATGACAATCAGTTGATTGCCAGCATCGGGATTAGGTAGCCCAGGGCCTCCAAATAGGCTGGGGTTGCTCAGAGGTCTGCAAGTGCTCGGTGGGGGAAGCCAGTTGGCTCCCCAACTTGGGAAGCTCAAATCTGTGGGACTGCTGGCATGTGGTTCTGCAAGTACTGAGCCATTGAGACACTACTTTGAGACCTGTGCTCCTGACATCTCCATGCAGGGCTTCACTGTGAGTAGCTTTCCACTTAGCAGTGCACATAGAGCCTGGGATCTCAATCCTGGACTCCATGTGTTGGCAAATTTGAAGAGTGCCTTTGGCTGCACCGACAGGATGCAATTGGATCTTACCCTGATCCCCAAAATTTTGTCATGCCATGTGGCATCGCAGGATGCTGTATTGTTTGGATCCACGATTAGATCTCATTGCGCCATTAAATTAATGTCTTCCAGAGGCTATGGTGGAGCCCAGTGTAACACAATAAAAGGCATAAAACAATACAGTAAACCATATATATGCTCATCCTGTCTGCATAATGTCATTTTATGTTAATAAAACATAATAGTTGTAAATGCAAATTTATTTAATTGCATAACATGCTTAAAAAATAAATTTGAATTAATTTGCACTAACGTATGCATAACAAATGCATCAGACTATTTTGTTATTATTAGTATTTTATTTGTTAGAACCCACAGCATAGCAGAACCTACTTACATACTGGAAAATCCAGTCTCTATTGCCCAATAGCACATAATATGATAAACAGCTGAATACTACTTAGCAATTTTATCATGATTGGTTATTTGATCAGCTGGTATATCAGAGTAAATGAGATTCTGATATTCATTCCTAGGTCATTGTCCTGTAGCATGTACACATAAATCCTTCTAATAGATATGATAAATCAATGATTTTTAGTATCAGTTTCCTAGCTAGGTGAGACCAAATAATGATGTTACGGTCTTAAACATCTGAACCCTCTAAGTGGTGTATTATAATGTTTAAGGAAAATGCAAATTACAAAATGGGCACAAATATATTTCCTGCTGGAAAGATATTACACGTTTAGATCTAGAAAACAAGTATATTAGTTTTAGAATGTTTTTCTCTAGACAAAAAGCAATAAATTGACATAATAATAATAATTAAGAATCTCAGTAACTATAATACTATAAAAAGATGAACAGAAAATATGTGTGTATTTTATCAAATAGCAGTGACAAGAAGAATTACAATTATGCAGTTTATCCTGTCTGGTGCATAATATCTACTTAAATGCAATGGTTCATGTTATATAAAAATAGTTCTTCATGATTCAGCAAAACCCTCATAGGTTGGGTAACAAGTACTTCTTATTTCTGAATGTAGGTTATAATCTTTTTTGTAGCAAAAATTAACCTAACAAATATGAGCACTTGGACATCCTAGAATCTGACAAATGACAATGTTTTGAGAGCCCTCTGGTGAAATCCTGGCATTAGAAAATTTAACAAGAACATTCACATTAACTTCAGTGGGAGTAGGATTTTATTATTCATACCTAGATACATGTCTGGGATGGGCTGATTGCTCATTGCTCATATCATTCTTTAAATTGTTACTCCTGAGCCTTCATTTCAGTTCCTAGTATCACATAGTTTTAAAAGGTAAAACGCCCCAAGAATAAACGTATCATATAGAAATATTTACTTTGTGGGATTGATCCAAGTCATAAACCTTAAAGATTGCAGTGTACACTTTATCGTTTCTGATGGGGAGCTAGCCTTATGTGACACCTTCCTCCATGTGGTAATATTTGTATTTTGAGTGCAGCCTGCCCTCTTGTTGCTGGAAAGCAAACCATTCCTGTGCAAGTCATACTTTAGGAGTCTGTACAGGTGCCAAAAGTAGGTAAATCCAATGCAAGGATGGGCAAGTCATAATCTCTGCTGGCTAAAATTTAAACACATCAGTTTTCATTTATAAATAGCATAGCATGTTAAGTAAAGTTCTAGTCTTTTTGTCTGCTGCCACATTCAAATTTGACAACTCCCTCAACACCTGCCAGTGATGATCCCTTGCCAGACTTCAAGTTTGTGTGGTTGTAGGAGTTTTTACTTAAGTCACAGAGAAGCTCCACAGTGATTTTGATGTACTTGTGTCTAGGAATAAATATATAGATATTATGGATAAAAGAAACCTTATAGTAACACACTTCAAAGTGTACTCAAAAAGTCACCCCCTCCACTGAATCCCTCACAAAATAAGATGCCGTGACTATCCTTTTAAATGCTTAAATCTCCACTTCCTCCCCTGAAAAATGACAGGAGCAATAGTGATATTGTTGTACTTGTACCTAAACAAGTCTGGGATAGGCGTCTTTTTAGAAAGCAATAATAAATATCTATTTATGACAGACTAATGCCATTTCTAGCAGATTACATACAAAACTGTTCATGTCTAGTAGGAACCTGATTTGAAAAATGGATGATGTCCCTGGAATGTGTGTGATAATATTAGGTGACCCCCCCACCCCGTTTTATTTCAGCACTAAAAACATTAAATAATATGTCTTTGAAATTATTCTGTTTGGATTTCATAGCTAAGTATAGACAGCCAAAAAACGTGTGGTTTAGTCAATTCAATCTTTGCAGGTTAGTCTAAGCTGTGTAGATTGAACTGATAAGCAGGTGAACAGACATTCACTTTTGATTTGGGAAATGCAGCCATATGCCTTCAGTGGCCCAGACCAGAGGAGGCACTAAAGCATACCTCCCTACTCGGCTGGAGGAGACAGCCTGGGCCAAGGCTAGCCTGTCCCCTCAGGGTCAGGGATGGGGGGGTTGAGGGGGCTTGCAGGAAAGATGCAAAGCATCCTTGGATGTTGGGAGACTGTGAGTTAACTGGAATCTGGAGGGGATCTGGGACAGAAGTTCAGTAAACCAATTAACCTAAATCAGTTAAGTCTGATACTACGTCTATCCATGTTTATCTTAAATTGGTTTTGATCATTTTGAAAGCAGTGTATGTGCACTGAACTTCTGTTGTGTTACAGATTTGAACTGGTTGCCCATCGCTTATACCAGTTTATATGTAATTTCCAGGGATTCAGGTTTTTGGTGAATTTTTAAAGAAAATGATTAACAAAATACTACGTTACAGGAGAAACGAAAAGCAGAAGAAGCACTAAATGATCTGAAGTGCCAGTATGAAAGTGAAGTTGGTGATCTTCAGGTGGCAATAAAAAAACTTAAAAAGGTGGGTAGGCTCATGACCAGAATTTTCTAAATTGTGTAAGAGAGCCTGATTCAATGAAGTGCCTCCCTGGAGGTAGCAGAAAGTTTTCTTTATTATCTAGATTCTAGCCTAAAATCAATGCATTAATTTACCAAAGTAATGACATTAAGTAAATGGAAACCTCAAACCAGTTATGTTGAGTGAAAATTTGCTAGTCTTGAATTCATTCAGTGTAATTTACTGAAATACCTAGGTAAATGGCCCAGCTGCTAGCTAAGTAATGGGTTATGTCCGTCAGAAAACTGGCCTTGTGATTACCTACTTGTTTCCTATGTTGGAAACAGTTCAATTAGTTGTGTAGAAATATTTGTATTTTGTAGAATTATTGATAGAAAGGACCCAAAATCTGAATTTCTCATTTGATCCCAGTCTCTGTGATGGAGCAACCTAACATCTCAGATCTGAAAGCTCATTTGGAGGTTTTGAAGTCCAGATTTTAGTTTTGTGAGTGACCTTTGCTATACCTGTTCAAAAAGTATGTGGGTCTTTCAGCAACGTAAACCCTGAATTTGAACTGAAGTCTTCATTTTCCTCTTTATTATTTTAAGCTAAATTTAAAATTTCATTCAGACTAATGGAAGTTTCTTATGAAAAATAAGAATATAATGTTTGTATATTAATGAGAATTAGTGCCAGATCAGGTGTTGTATATATGTGGAACTCAATGGAGCTACAACTCTGGTTTCTTGGATTGCTAAATAACTATTAAAATTTAAAATTGCTAGAAATGTTACATTGCTAGGAATGTTACATGTGAAAAACTTTCCAAAAGAATTTCCCTGAAAATGAAATGATGCCAGAGGTGTATTTGATAGCCATGTTGGTCTGAGACAAAAAGAAATGCAAGACTAAAACTCTTGGGTCAGAGATGATACTTTTTATTAGACCAACTAAGACATCGCAAAAAATCTTTTTTAGTGCAAAGAAAGATAAAGAGATTTTTTTTGCGATGTCTTAGTTGGTCTAATAAAAGGTATCATCTCTAGAGTTCTGCATTTTATGTCAGAGAAAATTTGGAGGGGACACTTCCTATGCAAACAACTGGGAGCCTTATTGAATCACAAACACCTTTTAGGGCTGAAAAACGTGTGTGAAGGCCTACTGTTATAAAGGTGTAATCAGAATTACTCCTCTTGCCATATGTGGGCTTTGGATGATGAACCCTTGAAGAGTCAGTCAAGAATATATCTTTAAATGTGCACATTTTCTTTGCTCTTTCAGCTAGAAGAACAATCTAAAAACATAAATCACAGAGAAGATGTGGCTGAATTAAAAAAAAGAATACATGATTTGTCATTGGTAAGAACTGCTTATAATTTACATGTCAAAGGAGCAGATTCAGCCTGCATATTGTACTTTCTTCAGTAAAGACTTATTTATCCAGTTCTGTCCAGGTGTTAGAATATTTATGATGAGAGAGACCATTTTTGGTAAACTTTTTTAAGGAGAGGGATAACTTGTTCTTGAAGGTACAGTAAGTTATTCTAAAAATACTGTTTAAAAACCATTTGAACTGTTATGATGTCTTCTTTTTTGTAAGAAAAACTGAAAAATCTAAAATGAAATTGAATTCTTGGGTACTGGAACTTTGCCTATTCTGTGTCTCATGATATAGAGTGGTACTAGATCCCTGAATCTCTGATGTTTAACTTTAAGCTCAAAGTAAAAGCATACATTTCATCATTTGGGACTTACACCATAGATTTTGATCTCAGTCTTATTAAAAGGTTCACCTTTTTCAATGATCTTTATTTATAACTGGTAATTTTACCAGCCACCTCTTAATTATATTACTCTTTTATATCATTACTGTTTATCTGCTACAGATATTTTTATGAATTATTTTTGGAAAACTTTATTGTATTGTTAGGGCAACCGTGTTTGAATAAGCTTCTTTTTGTGGATTCTTTAGGAAAATCAGAAACTTAAAAAAAATCTTTTAGAAGCACAGACAAATATAGCTTTTCTTCAGAGTGAATTAGATGCTTTGAAAAGTGAATATGCAGATCAAAGTTTGAGCTCAGAAAGGTAAGATACTTTACATTATATTGTGTTTTTTATTCAGGGAAAAATAAGTATTTTGGTGTATATATTTAATTGGTACCTCTTTTATGTTCTTAGTTGACCATAACTGACAAGTATATGGACAGTCTATCAGTTTTAACATGTCTATTATTCACTTAGTAATCTAGAATGAAAGAGTAAGCATTAGCCCTGATCTGAAGCCTTGAAAAATCAAGGCTATTTTTTTAAAATATATCTATTCTGAAACATTTAATAAGAAATGGGAGTTAGGGTTCAATTATATGCTTTCCAATTGGAGAGATGTAATTGTCCATCTACTCCTTGTTGCCAGAATCCTTAGCATATTTACGTTGGTGTACTAGTAATTTATTCCTTAGTCTTGTAAACGATTATGCTAGGGCACATTTCAGTGCCTGGTCAAAGCTCCATTGAAGGCCCAATGCCTGCTGCAATACATGTTAATTAACACGCATCAGAGCAGACTTGATTAATTGAGTCTGCTGGAGCGTGCTAATTAGCACCTTCAAAATGGCGGCGGGGGTGCTTTAACTAAAGCTTATCAAATGAGCTTTAGTTAAAGCACCCCCACTGCCATTTTGAAGTACAGGATACTGAATACATGAGACTCTGCAGGCACTTTAATTAAGTGCTCTAATTAAATCACCTCCCACTACCACATGTGTAAACATGCCCTAGATTTCTGACCTCAATGCAAGGTTGTATCTACATACTATTAACCGTAGAATCAGTTCCCTTAGCCTTCATAGTAGTACAGAGTACTCACACTGATGTTAAATTCTTGTGCTAAACCCTTGTGTAAACCATTTGCTAAATTAAATGTATTTTTTATATGCAGGAATCATAGATTCATAGATGTAGGGTTGGAAGGGACCTTGTAGATCTTCTAGTCCGAAGTTTTAAAAAATTTGTATTTTTAAACATTTTCTGGTACGTAGAACTGTGACTGCTCACATTTTCTTCTTTTTAGCCACTGAAATATATTTGAAAGATGTCAATGACATCAAATATTTTCTAATCCTACTTTAGCATTTTAGCAATTCCTACAGGTCCCATAAGCACGTTAAGTCACCAGGAGGAGGGCAGCAGTCCACGTGACTGAATGGGATGGGAAACATCCCAAGACTACATCTACTATGACATACTGAATGTCTGAGACCCCTTGTTTGTGTTGGTATCAAATTATTACAATATATTTAAGACAAACACATTTTAAATATTAATAAGCAAAGTACTGTATTAAGGAATTGAGTAACCTAAACACTCAAACTGATTTTTTTCCCCCCTATGTTTTCAAAATTTAAAAAAGAATTTTCCATTGATTCAGAATCTTAGTTACGGTTAAACTTTACTTTCTGTAAGGAGTAAAAGCTATAAAAATGACTCACTGTGAGTAAACAACTATATGTTATATTTTGCAGAGATTTGGAAATTATCCAAGAATACACTGAAGACAGAGATAACCTGGAAAGACAAATTGAAATACTTCAGTAAGTTACTAATAACTCACATGTCCTTACACTACAACACCTTTTGTCTAATAAACAAATTTTGTCTAGTTGCATGGAAATCTGTGATAGGAATGAAAAAACAAAATATTACCAAGGTCAATGTTCAGTGCCATCCAGACTAGTCCAGTAGACCGCACTCCACTGGCTATACCATGTTAAATTAGGCTTAGGGTTCCAGAATATTGCCTGTGACGCTAGTGCAGATTACCTCATACCAATTGTTCTTGCTATGCCATTTGAATTTTGTAAGGCTCCATAAATTGCCTATTTTTTTCCTTTCCTTTCATAAAGGGCAAATGTATGGCCCATCTCAGGCCATCGCTTCACAAATTAAATTGTATTTGACTTGACACTGCTTTTTTTTTCTATTTTTTAACCACAACATAATTGTACATAGTCTTAGTTTTGCACATTATGGTATCTGGCAGATTATCTACAATATTTTTGTTGAGGCATCCTACAGTTCCATCTGTGATTCTTTTTTTTTTTCTTTTACTGCTGTTGAGCAGAAGCATACAGGGTCATATTGTCATTGATTTTTTTTTTTAAGCACAATTCCTCTTTACTTAAGTGGCCTAAAGATACTAACATTTATCTACCACAACAGCAAGCTTCTTTAGTTCAGCATGCGAGTCAGTGTATGTCTTGCACATCTCTAATGTTTTGTGGGGTTTTGTTCTTAGCTTCATTGACTCTCGTTCCTTTACAACAAGGAATAAGATCCTGTACCCATGTTATTCTAAATGTCATCACTTGGCTCATTGGCTTAACAAGTGGGGGCGGGGGGGTTGCACTGTGGTGGTTCCAAAGGTGGAGGAGTTGGCAAGCCAGTGCATGCAGACGCAACCTGACGTGCCCTGTGCCTGCTCTGGACTCGCACACCCAGGCTCAGCAGTGGCAGTAGCAATGGTAGCTGAGCAGAAACTGTTGCTCAGCATGGGGGTGGAAAACAGCCCCTCTCCCTCACTACTGCTGGGCCCTTTCTGCTGCATTTGTCTGGAACCTGCGCTGTGCCAGGCTGCTCTATATCTGCTGCCATTACTGACATCTCTGGGCTGCTCAGCGGGGCAGCGGTGGCAATGCAGAGCAGCCACAGGGCAGCCTGGGTGGTGGTAATGGTGGTGGAGATGCAGGGCAGCCTTGTATGGCACGGGCTCTGGGCAGATGCAGCAGAAAGGTCCTGGCAGTGGCGAGTGGGAGGGGCTGCTTTTCCCCAACATTGAGCAACAGTTTCTGATCAGCAGCTGCCGCTGCTGCTGCTGCTACTTACCTTGAACAGGTGAGTCTGGAGCAGGCATGGGGCACACCAGGTTAGGGCTGTGCATGCGGGTCCCCACCAGTACTGTGGAGCTTAGGGTCAGCAGCGGTGGCAGCCAGAAGCAGCTGCCACCACCTGAGCTGCCTAGAAAGGCAGTCCAGCTGCAGAGCCACCCCAGCCCTTCTACATTCCCGAGGGGCGGCAGGAGTGCCACAGGTGGGCGGTGCAGAGCAGGTACAGGGTGGGCTGGGGTTGGAGCTGCGCACATGGGTTCTGGCCGATCTGCTCCCATGGGGGTGAGTATGGAGCTGGCATGGGACAGGGATGGGGCTGCATGCTGTTGCCAGTGATGGGGAGCCGTGGCAGGATACATGGGCTCTAGGTTGTTGTGTGTCAGAGGCGGGTGCTGACCGGCTTATGTGGGGCATGCATGGGAGGCTCCCATGCACACCCCAGCACACCCACAAACCCTCCCCTGCAAACCCCACAACTACACCCACCCCCACACACAATTGCACACCCCACAAACACTGCACCCACCCACATGTTCTCCCACACCATCCCACACACATACCCATGTGCCTCTGGGGGGTACCCCACTCACTGCTATGTGTACACAACTCACCACACCCACCTACACACACCCCACAGCCCCCCACAAATCCCATACTGAACCACACATCCCCGCAAACTCCCCATACTCACCCACCCACATCCACAAATACCCCCACACCCTCCCTGACACCCCACTTACACACACATACACTTACCCCCCCATACCTCACACCTACACACAAACCCTATACTCACCCACCTGTGCCTCCCCACACCCTCCACCCCCTCGCAATATACAGGAGTAAGACTTCATTTTGAGTTATTATGTGATCACCTCTATATATATGGTGCAAACACATGAATCAAGACAAAAATATTAAAAAAAATAAAATTAAAATATATTACTGTGAATTTTTGATTTTTAGTATATAACTTTTTTTTCTGGTTCCAACATGGCAAAACCCCTTCCCAAAAGGAGTACTTCTAGTGGCAAAGGTCAAAGGTTAAGGGGCGGAACTTCAGGTTCCAACATGGTGACCAGGGGACGAGGTGCCTGTCAAGGGGCGGGGCCACCCTTGCAGCTGCCGACAGCTCACCAAAACTCGTTAAGCAGCCCTCCAGCCGAAATAATTGTCCACCCCTTTTCTAAGGTCTACATCACAAGAGTTCTCTTCTGTTAAGAGCTCTGTATAAAAATTTCACTTAAAAAACCCAACCAGTTGTCATTCATGGAAATGGGTAAAACATGATATAAAGATACCTAGTGAAACAGAAGACTCTAACTGTTCCTTAATTTATCATGTTATTTAATACATGCCCAACTTGCATATGTGTAGTACTTTTCACAAATTTGAGAAGGGTCAAAGGTCAAAACTAGGGAATGTACAAGTGTTTCTTCCTATTAATTAAGGGACCATAAAAGCAGCTTAATAAAATCCCACACTGTGGCCCCATGGAAGTGCTGGGGCCACAGAAAAATGGTCACTTTCACTTACATGGTGCAGATTCATTTCTTTGTGTACAATAACAACTTCTAGACCACTGCTAGTTCTTTGTTTTTGTTTTTTTGTTTTTAAAAAAATGAAATTTTATGATTCCATTATATGGAAGCTGGATATGACAAAATAGAACTGGCAAAACCATTTAGAATTTTCTTTAACTTATCCTATTACAGTTTTGTATGAAGACTACTTTTCCCTGTTTGATTTTAGATTAGCTAACAGAAAATTACATGACAGCAATGATGGCTTAAGGAGTGCACTAGAAAACAGTTTCAGCAAGCACAACAGAGCACTGGTATGTGGTATAATTTTCGAATGTTACAGAAATTATGTAATGGATTGTTATAGAATAATTATATAATAATATTACAGAAATCATATAATCCCTGTGTAACTTCAGAAACCTCCAGTGGCTTCAGCTGACAATAGATTTTGGCTTACTGCCTTCTGACATGGCCTGTTCTTTTCTGTATATCCCAAATGTATACACAATATATTGTATAAACCGAAATTTGAAAAGAGCCTTAAGTTTCCTTTGTCCTAAAATTTATATATTCACATTGGAACTTTCTGATACTTTTTTGTCCAAAACAAATTGCCAAAGGTTTCCCACAATGTGAATGGTACTTTTGCCGTTTCTCTTTATTGAAAATGTTTAGGACTTTCGCAGTATTTCACTGGAATGCAAGGAAAATTGAGATATTAGGCTGAGCCTTGAGGCTCACTCTCTTGCCATTTATTCCTTTGCACAGACAGCCCATGTAGTTACAAGAACCTCTGTCGGACCTTCTCTAAGATACCAGATGCACTGCCATTGCCAAAGTTGTAGCAATAGTAAAGTTAAATGTGTGTATACAGGAGGGAAAGGAAAAAAAACCCTTCACAACAGTTTGTCACTTTCGCTAGATGGAAAAAGAAAATCCCTTCAGATGCCATAGTTGGTGATCAGCCTAGTCCTTGGCATGCTCAGAGGGGTGGGAAGATTGCAGTCAAATTAAGGCATACACAATTGTTTGCTGCCTGGGCAGAATAGTCATATTGACATGCCCTTCCCTTCAGGGCTAGATGGAAGCCTATCACCTGGTCCCAGTTCCAGCTCCATCTAATGGCATTAGCAATATGAAGTACTGGATGGTAGGGTCTTTGCCCAAATTCAGTATACTCAACAGATGCCTTGTAGCATACAGAAGGGGGGATGGGTATTGAAGAAGAGCGGAGCAACAGCCCCAACACAATGAAAGCCAGGAGAAGGGAGAAGAGAGTAAAGAAAAGAAGGTGTGTATGAAAGACTCTCACCTGCTCCCAGTTTGGATATCTTTCCCTGATACCAATGGGTGTCTCCTCTACAGGTTTCCCTTGCTTTATCCTGTACATGCGTTCCTAGAAAATGGCGCAAAACTTGAATTTGCATAAAGGGAACCCACTTTGCAATGTAACAAATAGGGATACGTTCCAAGACTTCGACTGTACTGACCCCCAGGCCCATTTCTACCACTTTTACAAGGCAATTTTGGTATTCACCAACAGCAGACAGTACAAACAAACACCACAGGGCACTATCATAATAGGGATGGCAACTACAGAAACGTGTGTCGCAGGCAACGAGTGAGGAACACAGATCCACACAGGACACTATATTTTGGTGCACGTCACTCCTACAGTGCACCGCACAAAACAGCCAACTGTGGGCTTCCACGACATCGATTGTATACGAGTGAATTTACCTTGCATGTAATGAATTTCTGGTATAAAAAGGGTCATTGCATAAGAGCGAAAACACACATACAGAACCTGCATAAAGTGAAGGAAATGTGTATACTCAATTCCATCAAAGCCATGTGCTGGCTGGCAAAATGAGCATTTGTAGTAGCACAGATATTGAGTGATTAAACTTTGTCATCACAAATTCTCCTTACGTTTATACATGGAAATTTATAACTTGAGAGTATTTAAATGATATTGACCGTTTCCTTTCCCTCCTCAACCATCTTCATGCTCTAAGAAATGGTTATTCCAAAATGATGAGAAAAATATTTTGCCATTCCTTGAACTACTTTTCTAAAACGGTGTGTTATAGTTTATGGGATAATGCTACCTAGGCAGACGACACTGTAGTAGTCGCCAGCTCCTGTGTGCACATAAAAATCTCATTATTTTATTGCTGGTGAATGAGGAGCAACAAATCCAAACCTTGACCCATGTGGAGGAGTTTAAATATTATGCTTAATGTCCCTGTTGATATCCAGTCTTGTTTTAAAGGATGACATTTATTTGAAAAGAAAAAGTAGCGTATGCATAATTAACATACAGCAGTCTTATAGGGATTATATTCCCCTATTTAACAAACCCCTCTCCCCAAGCTTGCATAAGAAAACAGTTTCTTACAGATCTTCCTACATATGTTTTATTGCAGCGGTTAGCAAACACCTCCCCAGGGGGTACGATTTCTAGAAGCAGTCCCAAATGTAATGGTGGCCAGTCTCCACAGAATCCACAGTATGACAGGTAGGCCATCTTGTTTTTACCCAGATTATAACTTTAAAAAATGTTGGACTGTTATTGCATGCGTCTGAGGAGAGCTAAACAACTAATGCAAAATAATAGAATAAAACCCTGTGTTATGCTAACAGTGCTAACAAAATAAATTGAGCAAATTCAGTCATCATCCTCAAGGGAAACAAGCTTTTACCAAAATGAATCCATAAAATCTAAATCTCTTCATTATCATTATTGTTTCTGCTGTGTCTTAGTAAGGCAAACCTTCCTATGCTGAAAGCAGATACAACATATTCTCTCATGTTGGACTTGCTGTAGATTTTGCAACAGGTACTGTAGATTTTGCAGTATAACTCATCTGAACAATAGATTTGCTGAGTTTAGGGGAGGAAGGAATAAAGTCTATTTTAAGGCTGATAAGGACATCTTTCGCTGAGAAGATATTTTCTAATATCTTTTATTCTGTCCCATCTAGTGCATTATATTTGAAGTAGAAAAATGGGCCACCAGAAGTAAATGTGTGTACCAGGATAAAGCTTGTTCCTACCAGGCAGGACCAGGGAGTAAAGTGGTTCAGTCATACCCCTCTTTGATTCCTGCTTCACCACAAGTTTAAAACAAACTGCCTGGCAATGGCAGCAACATTTCTATTCAAACAGCAGTGAGGGAGTTATTTGACTACATGCCTCATTATAATCTACCTGATTCCTTCTAAACTCTTCATTCCACAGGTGTTAATGACACACACTCTTTTTTTAAATGGTCTTCATGGGCATTTATACACATTCTCCGGGAGTGGAGGGAGGGAGGGAGGGTGTGCTTTAATTAGCATGGATCCAAGAGCCGCTTTAATTAATGCGCCTGGAGCATCTCAAATATCAGTGTCCCTGCGCTGAAAAATGGCGGTGGGGACATGTTAACTAAAGCTCAAGCTTTAGCTAAAACAATTTGACGAGCTTTAGTTAAAGTACCCCTGCTGCTGTTTTTCAGCATGGGGATGCTGATACACAGATTCTGCTGGAGTGCAGTCATTACCAAGCTCCAGCAGGTGCGATTAATTGGGTCTTCTCCGATACGCTGTAATTACAGCACGTTGGGGCAGCTTTGCCAGTGTTCCATTAATCAAGTTCTTCTTTCTTCTGCAATTTTTCTGCCTGTTAGTTGCTACTGGTATGGAGTTCCTAGTGCAGACTATTTTTAAGTCTAACTAAAATCACTAACTCAGGTGTGGAAACATTTAACATAGGTAAACTTTTTAAAGCAGTTCTGGAAATAACTTTCAGTGAAACATTGGCTGCACTGTCAAGGAGCTCAAGACAGCTAGATATGGTTTTTGTCTTTTAGATTACTGTAAAAGAAATGTACATTTAATTCTACTGATTACGGGACTAAAGAAACAAAATATTTTGACTTATTTTTGTCTAGGTAGTTGTGTTTTTTTTTTTAAACACATAATGTCTGATATATCAAATTAATGCACATTGTAATAAAGTTATATTTGTTTTTGCTTCAATCTTAAACTGAAAAATATAGCTGAGGTTCCTAGCATATTAGTACAGCTTCTAGTTTCTTTTACCTGAAGAAAAATATGTGTTATCACCACACCAGCCTCACCCTCTTTCCCCCCTCTGCTCCCCCCCCCCCCTTTTCAAATCTCCCCCCTCTGCCCCCCCCCCCCCACTTTTCAAAATCCTATATCTGCCCCTGCTATTAGGTATAGATTAGCAGTATCCAGGCAAAAAGAGAGAAAAATCAAGATTAACTTTCAGTTTTACTTCAGGACTCTGTCAGCCAGTTGAATAATCAGAAATCCGAGTTTAGATTCTAACCTTGGTTTTACATTTATATTAAATTTATATTAGTAATTGCATTCTTTCTTTTCTATTAGTGTAGCATTTCATAGGCTAAATTGCCTTAAAAATGCGTGGAATTCCCAGTACTGACTCCATGCTTCAATGACTTTGAAAATTGACTAATATAGTCTTTTATTTCAGAGTATGCCCAATCACCTTAACTTTATTACAGTATTCTCCCTTTTTTCATATGTCAGTTATTTGCTGTAGGCTAGAGAGTGTATGAATATAAATAGCTTGGGTACTGTTATATTCCAAAATTAAGATCGTGTTCATTTATATGAATGCTCATTACCCTGGAAGCATGGAAATAGAACATTTTGAATGTTGTTGCAACAAAAAAATACTTTCTATAACATTGCTGGTTGGCCAGTAGTGGATGGAAGTTATATTAGAGTTCACAATAGTCTCAAAACCCCACAAATCCCAAGGAATAGACACTCCAGGCCCACAGAAGCTACCCTGTTATTCTGAACTGTGTTTGGAGTGCTCAAGTCTACTGCTAATACAAGTTCACAAAGAACAGCACTGCCATTGTTTGTCAACTATAACCAGACTGTGCTCCATCTCTACTCTCATAGGATAAAGCAAGGTTGACTGCTTTTCTTGCTTTACACTACTTCCACATTGTGAGGCCAGGCCTCTCTTGGTCTGCTGTCTGGTACCATGTAAACCAGTACAGCCTGTTCCATGGTTGGATTGTCGGCAACTAAATTGGAGTCCCCACCTGGCTAGTCCAGGTGAGGAGGGGGTGTGGACACCCAGCAGGAAAAAAAGACCTGTCAAAGGGTGGGTGAGTTCCCTGAGAGCTAGTGGCCATCCATACCTGGAGAGAGGGTGGGTGCCACCAGGTCATTTTGCCTGAAGAATCACCAGTGATGCAAAGTAACTCGTCTAACTTCACACAGAGTGGAGGAGGGTTGTTACGGTAGCTAAGATGCCCCAATAATCACAGCGGCCTTGGGACTGACTTGACACTACTTTCAGGCATTTTCAGGTAGTTTGATTTGTGCCAGTCAGTTCCTTGCTACAGACCATAACACCTTATTTTTAGGTTGTCTCCTTCTTCCTCTCCATCTCTCTTTTCCTGTTCCCTTTTTATGCAAATTAATTTTCAATGTACATACAGTAAGTGCCTCTCTCATAGTGTAACACTGTTGCTATTGGCATTCGTTTAAACATGCTATGGCACCAAAAACAAAAATGGCTTTGGAACGGAGAAAAACTGTCAAGCATATACTTTCCTAAAACTGCAGTGTTCTATAAAGACCATTTCATTATAATCAAACAAGTTTCTCTCATTTCTACTCCTCCTGTTTCTGAGCTTGTGATCTCTGCTGTCTTGCTTTTTTTTGTATGCATAATTGTTATTTATTGACTTGCACACATCTGGGAGATAAAGCCTAGATGTATCTATTTGCATCAGATACAAGTATACTGAAGTCATTTTCTACAACAAGAAAGGGGCTAACGTTCATTAAACCATCAGTACTTTATAGATGTTTTCTGCCTTTAATATTTTCCATGTTGTAATGTTTAAGGAGTTTTTTAAAGATCTATTTTTTTTAATTATGACTAAAGTGGGGTACCAGACCCAGAATGTATAGGCATTATGGTGACATTAATTTTTTACATGCTATTGGATATCTTTTTACTGGAAATTAAAAAATAGTGCACAGTGGAATCTTCTTTAATGTGTAGTTGACATTTGGCATGTTCACCATTTCAATATGTCTTTGTTTTGCTAGGGAATGTCATCTCAAAATAATGCATGTCTTCCCTGTTTTTGTCATCAGATCATCTCATTCTTCCTACATGGATGAGGATTATGATTCTTTAGCCCTTTGTGACCCTATGCAAAGGATAAACTGTGAGGTTGACAGCTTACCTGAGAGCTGGTTTGACAGTGGTTTGTCTACCTTGAGAGACTCAAATGAATATGATTCAGAAGTGGAATACAGGCATCAAAGGAATTTTCAAAGGTCACAGTGCACACAGGAAGGCTTTGGTGGTGATGCTTCTGATACAGATGTAAGCTTCAGACTTACTGTATTTCTGAGACCTTTGGTTGGAGGCAAAATTAGCCTCTTTTTGTAAAGTGAAGTCAATCTTTGTACCTAGGTCAGAAGAAGCTGCATTGTCTTTTTCTGGGTTATAAGCATTAAAACAGAATTTTCAAGAATTTTTTTTTGTTCAGTGCTTTTTTAGTGACTACTAAAAAAGTACTAAAAAAATCTGTACCTACTTTTAACTGGTTATGTGTTTTTATTTATGAGGCTATTTTTTATTTTTAAAGTTAATTTAATTTGCCGTTTTTCACATTGTTTTCTTATGCTAAATGTTTTATTACCGAAATCTTTTGCTTTGTTACATCTGGAAACCAAATGGATGTTACAGTGTTGTTTTTATGAGTACTGGGCATTGGGCAGTGATTGTTTCTGAAAGCATTATTTTGGAGAAAAGATTACGGATACCTAAGAGGTATGGAGGCAGAAAATAGGTTTTAGGCCTATCTCCAGTATCAACAACATCTTTCACCAGGTTCCTGCCTTCTCAAATGTTAGAGGTATATGGAAACTGTTTTGAAGTTGACAAGTGTTCTATTTGCCCAATTTGTCTTGCAGCAAGTGGGTGTTGTCCTCTTGAATTCTGGGATAGATAACTGCAGCAGCAAATGCTGGCTCCTATGAGATAGGGTCAGAAAAAAATTCTGACAGTATTTTCTTCCCTGGGAATTGCCAGTTTGCTAATAGTGAAATATTCTGGGGAGATGGCTCCATTTCAACAGTGTACAGATGAAAGGCCCTTTACCAGGCAGGCTCTTGTCAGAAACCTGCCTGGCTTCTGGCCCAGCTTCTCTTTAGACAGGTCTGCCAGGACTTTCAGAGATCTCTGTTCCTAGGCAGCCTGCCAAGTAATCTGCCACAGCACCACAGACTCCAGGGCTTCCGGGGTCTGTATTTCCCTTCTCTTTTGCAGAGAACATAATAATTTTTGTTTCAAATAAAGACAAACCAAATCTTACTACATAAACATGTGCTATGAAACAGAATTCTGTTTCTCTTTTCAGCTCTTGCAGCTACTATAATTTAGAGTTTAGACAAATACGTTTTGCGGGCTATAAAACTAAAGATTACCATTCACATATGTTGTTTTCTTGGATACAAATCATATAACCAACAATCAGCTGTAAGAGTGGTACAGATCCATTTTGTCCCATCTTCATTTCAAATCATTTTTTAAATATAACCTTTTCACCTTCACTTCCAGATTTTTTTTTAAATTTAAATGTAACAAAAAGTGTAATATTTTCTGGAACTTTCAGGTACCAGAGATTAAAGACGAAGAAGCTTATAGTCCTGACAACGGCAGTTCAGTATTAGACTGGAAACCTTCACTACCAGACAATCGGAGCAGCTCTGTTGCATCAACAAGGAAATGTATTTCTGCCCTCTCTCCTCAGGTAACCAGCCCAGAATAATTTCTTAACTTGATATTCAGAAATATATGCCAAGATTTTTTTTTTCCTCCTTACACTTAATAATATGAAGTTTGGTGTGTTCATTTTATTTTTAGTCAGATGCAACAGATCGTAACCTGAAATACCCCAGGTCTGAGAAGGCTTACAAGATAGTTCTTGCTGGAGATGCAGCAGTAGGAAAATCCAGTTTCCTTATGAGACTTTGTAAGAATGAATTTCGAGGAAACACCAGCGCAACCCTGGGTATGTTTCTTGTACACTTTCTGCACTGAACAGGTGGAGTACTTGACAGGTGGAGTACTTGTAAAAGAAAATATTATTTTTTACCTCCCTTTATTTATTAAATGGATGCAAGCATACACTTTCCTTGAAATCAGAATGCGGGCTGTATTCTTTTTTTATGCACACGCGTGACATTTACCTGCAGCAGGATGGTGTTGTTCTATAAAATGGGAAATTTATTTCCAAGCCCAGATGGAAGGTCCATATCACTTGTTTGCTGCAGAAGCAAACTCTGTGTCATTGTTCCTGGAGGATTTGGCCATTATGGGTGTGTGTAGATGAAACGGGGGCCCTAAATTGAAGCAGTGGGTTTTAAAAAGCACTGCTTTAATTTAGGGCTAATTAAACCCCTGTGTTGTGCACATACCCTGCAGACTTACCTGCCTGTCCGGTGGGGAGGGGAGGGCAAGCTGCCAGTGGGCGGAGTAGTCCCTGAGCTGCGGGTGGTGGGGTGGGGCTGGTCATTCCTTCCATGGCAGCAGCGGGCACCTGGCTCAGGCGGTCCCAGGGGGCACTGCAGATGCAGAGGGAGGCATTGGGCCCCCACATGGCTCAGGCAGGCAGGCAGGCTCTGGGGGGAAGAGAGTTGGGGAGATCAGGCTCACTGCTTTTCTTGGTCAGAGTCTGCTTTCCTGGGCTGCTGCCAGGCTTCCTACAGACATGCAGAGCCCCATGGAGCCTATGCTTCACTCCGTGGCTGTAGGGCTGGCAAACTAAAATTCTCAAGGGAGTTTTAGTTTGCTGCACCCCAAGTCATTTAAGGCACGTTATGCCACCAAATTTGCTACAGTGGCTGGGATTAACGCGCAATATACCACCAAGATGTGCAAACACCAACACCATTAAAGTGTTGCAAAAGCATTTAGCCTGCTTTAAAATGCTGTGCACACACACCTCTTGTTTTGTCTACACATGGCCTATATGGACTTTTATGATTGGATGATCCTCTATTATTATATCAGCACACCAAAGATGCAAGGACTAGAGGCTACTCAGAGTATTCACAGAGTGAGTCTAGTCTGTGATTCTATTGTGGCTCCAGTGGCATGTGGCCTTGCCAGACTAGCTTTAAACTTGTTCATACTGGTGTCAGTAGCAGTCTTACATGGAGCTCAGTTGTGTATTTACTCTGCCTCACGAGGGGGTTTTGCAGCCTGCAGTGACTCCTATGCTGCTGTGGCTAATTTAAACGTACGGGCCACATTGTGCTGCCATCATGCTAGGGACTGTGGTATATACATATCCTTAAGTTGTCTCCCCTGCTGTTCTGTGGAGCTGTAGGTAAAAAATGCTTTTCATAGCCTCTAAGGGTTTTCTTGGAAGACATATTATTCTGTGCCTCAGGAAGATCTGGGGCACAGAAGGAGCTATTTGTTGTCCAGACCCTCTTGCTTGAGAGGTCTGCTGCCTTTCAGGAGCCAGGATTAGAGATGTCACAAAGAGGATCCCTAAACTGTTCTGCCCTGTTGACCACTACTCCATGCTCCTTGTCCATGTGGGCACCAGTGACATGGTGAGGATCAGCTCTGTGAGAATTATGAGAGACTACAAGACCATGTGGATGAAGCTCAAGGAATTAGGAGCACAAGTGGTCTTCTCCTCAATCCTCCTGGTCAGAGGCCATGGCCGTCAGAGGGAAGAGTACTTCAAGGAGGTCAACCGAAGGCTTAGGAGATGATGTCATTGTGTGGGCTTTGGATACCTCGACCTTGGTACGCAGTTCTACAGCAGTGGTCTGTACACAAAGGATTGTATTCATATCACAAGCAGAGGGAAGAAGCTCTTCGCTATTGGAATCGTCAACTTGTTAAGGAGGGCTTTAAATTAGGCACATCTAGGGGCCGGGAAGTAGGTTCCACTGCTGAGCTAAAATCCTCTAGCCATAACGACACGGGGGAGGATGATCAAGCAGTGGATGGCCAGATAAGTACTGGCATCTTGAGACACTGGCAGTGTGTCAGAAAACCTGAGGTGACTAGGGGACAACTCGGGTGTCTTCATGGGAATCCCAGAAGCATGGGAAATAAACAAGAGGATCTGGCACTCCTTCAGGCAAACAACTTATTTGACCCGATTGGTTTGATGGATGCCTGGTGGGATGACGCACATGATTGGGCAGTGCATATTGAAGGATATAGGCTTTATAGGAGAGATTGGACTGGGAAGAAGGAAGGAGGTGTGGCCCTCTATGTGAAAGAGTGGTACCCCTCCCTGTAGGTCACGTTTGACAGCAGGGAAGGATCCCTCGAGACCCTCTGGGTCAGGATACAAGGGGGATCGGGACAGGGAGACCTGATAGTGGGAGTCTACTACAGGCCTCCCTCCCAAGAAGAGGAGAGTGATCATGCATTCTCCGGAGAACTGACTGAGGTAGCTAGCACTAAAAACATTATTGTCACGGGTGACTTCAAGTGCCCTGACATCTCTTGGGAGGACCATTCGGCCAGCTCCAGTAGGTCAGCACCCTCTTGGCAACAATAAACTATCTATTCCTGATGCAGGTTGTGGAAGGGCCTAGTAGGGGTAAGGCCACTCTGGATTTAGTACTAATCAAAGGGAAGGACATGATGGGTGACCTGAGGATTGGTGGTACTCGGAGTGACAGTGATCATAGATTTCATAGATTTAATAGATTTCATATACATTAGGTCTGGAAGGGACCTTGGAAGATCATTGAGTCCAGCCCCCTGCCTGAGGGGCAGGAAGTCAGCTGGGGTCATAGGATCCCAGCAAGATAAGAATCCAAATTTCTCTTGAAGGTGCTCAATGTAGGCGCTTGGACCACCTCTGATGGCAGGCTATTCCAGACCTTGGGGTCTTGGACAGTAAAGAAATTCTTCTTTTTGTCCAGCCTGAAATGGTTTTGCAGTAGTTTATAACCGTTCGACCTCGTCATCCCTTGGAGTGCTCTGGTGAACAAATGTTCCCCCAGATACTGGTGGTCACCCGTGATAAACTCTCTGATCATGTGCGTGGCTCTTCTTTGGACTCTCTCAAGCTTCTTCACATCCTTTTTGAATTGTGGGGCCCAAAACTGGATGCAGTACTCCAGCTGTGGCCTCACCAAGGCATGACCTGATTAGGTTCACCATCCACTGTAAGACTGGGAAATCAGTCAGCAGAACAAAAGTCCTAGACTTCAGATTTTGGCATGCTCAGGAGGCTAATGGGAAAGGCCCTCTGTTACCAGTGACTGGACCATTTGGGAGTTCAGCAACCATGGTGCTTCCTTGAGGCAATTCTTACTGCCCAGAAACATATCATCTGCTTGAGGACAAAAAATGGGAAAGGAGCCAAGAGACCCCCACCCCACTCCTGGCTCAACAGGGATGTTGGAGAACTATTGACAAAGAAGAAAGAAGCATACAACAATGGAAGAATGGTTCAACAACCAGAGAGGAATGTACCTATATCTCCAGGGTCTGCAGATATGAGACACAGAAAGCCAAGGCAAGCATGGAGCTCAAGCTGGCAACCAAAATAAAGAACAACAAAAAGTCCTTCTATAGATACATAGGGAGCAATAAAAAATTGTACTCAAATGTGGGACCACTACTGAACACTCAGGGGCAGCTCATAGTTGATTCCCATGAGAAGGCAGAACTCTTAAATACTTACTTTACATCAGTATTCTTGAAATCAAATGGGGGCTGTTTACCCAAGCAGAGGCCCAGGGAATATGGGGAACACAACAAACTACATGAAACCAGTCCTGAGCAGGTAAGGGATCTCCTACAACACTTAGATGTTTTCAAGGCTGCTGGGCCAGATGACCTGCATCCAAGAGTCCTGACAGAACTGACAGAGATTATAGCATTGCCATTGGCAAAGCTGTTGGAAGAGTCGCGGAACTCGGAAGTGGTCCTAGATGACTGGAAGAGGGCCAATGGGGTGCCTATCTTCAAGAAAGGGAAGAGGGATGAGCCTGCAAACTACAGACCGGTCAGTATGACTGCAATCCTTGGTAAAATTTTTGAGACATTTATTGAGGAGGCCATCAACTACAAGCTGGAAACTGCTGGGGTATTAAGAAGCAACCAATATGGCTTTGCCAAGGGTAAATCATGTCTGATGAACCTGGTGTCCTTCTGTGATCAGGTAACTAACCATCTGGATGAGGGATTATGAGGTTGATGTCATTTACCTAGACTTCAGTAAAGCCTTCAATTCTGTTTCCCACATGATTCTCTCAACCAAACTCAAGGGTGGGCTGGACCAGCCTGCAGTGACGTGCGTGGACAACTGGCTTAGATGCCGATCCCAGAGTTGTAATCAATGGGATGGCCTCATCCTGGAGGGCCAACTCCAGTGGCGTCCCCCAGGGGTTGGTGCCTGGACCCATGCTCTTTAACATATTTATTAATGACTTGCATGACGGGGTGGACAGCTCAATGATTAAGTTTGCAGATGATATCAAGCTGTGGGGAAATGTGGGCATATCAGAGGATAGGGTAAAGATCCAGGATGCCACTGACAAACTGGTTTTATGGGCAAAATGGAATTGGATGAGGTTTAAAGGGAGAAGCATGCAGGGTTCTTCATCTGGTAAGAAGAACCCCACCATAACTACATGATGGATCACCTACTGACTGGCACAGCGTCTGAACGACACCTGGGGATCATGATCGACCAGAAGATGAACATGAGCCAACAGTGCAATGAGGTTGCCAGGAGGGAAAATAGAACTCTGGCGTGCATCAGCCGATGTGTTGCCAGTAGATCCAGGAAGGTGCTTCTCCCTCTGTATTTGGCATTGGTGAAGGCATAGATGGAGTACTGTGTCCAGTTTTGGGCCCAACACTTCAGAAAGGATGTGGATAAGCTTGAGAGGGTACAAAGAAGGGCCACCCATGTGATTAGGGCCCTGGAGGATAGGCCCTCTGAGGAGAGACTGGGAACTGGGCCAGTTCAACCTGAGTAAGAGAAGGCTGAGAGGTGACCTGTTAGCTGCCTACAAGTACGGCAGGGGTGAGCATCAAGATCTAGGGGAACAGCTCTTCAGGAAGGGACCTTAAGGGAGGATGAGGACCAATAGGCATAAGCTAATTGAGAGTAAATTCAGGCTGGACATAAGAAAGAACTTTTTCTCTGTAAGGTTCACCGGAATCTGGAACACACTCCTAGCAGAGGTCGTGCAGTCACCATCCTTGGAGGTGTTCAACATGAGGCTGGACAAGCACCTTGTTGAGTTTGGCTGAGCCCAATTACTTCCTGTCCATGGCAGGGGACTGGACTTGATGATGTGGCAGGTCCCTTCTGATCCTTCGATTCTGTGATTCTATATTAACTTGCTGAGCTGTGTATTTCCCAGGATGTAGGACAAGGGTAGGCAATGTTTTTTGGCCGGAGTGCCAAAAAACCCACAATGTCTACCTTGCAAGGTGCCGGAGTGCTGGCATGCCAGAAAAACAAAATGAGGGCAGGGGGTGGGGGTGCAGGGGTTCATGGCAGGACATAGTGCATATTAGTATATTTTAATTATCATAAATGTTGCCTTTGTCGTTGTGTATTCCTTTTTTGTTGAGCATTTTGCAATGAGAGAGATAGAAAAAAGAGACAATAAGAGGAAGAGGAGAGGAGAGCCACCCCCCCCCCCCCACACACACACCCCCATATGCACAAACACAGAGAATCAGAACAGACACATGCACACACATATCTGGAACCAGACATGTGCGCACACAGACACACAGAACCAGACAGAGGCAGACAAACACAGAACCAGATGCACGGGCGCATGGAGCCAGACTCCTGGGCCACTGGACCAAGTCCAACCCAATAATGCCCTGGTCCCGCTAGAGCCCTTGTGCTTCCCTGGGGAGCCAGCCCCCGGGCTGCAGTGCAGCTGGCCAAGGCCAAGGCCCCAGCCCAGAGCCTCCCATCAGCTCAACCACCCACCCACCCCGCAAAGCTAAGCCCACAAAAGGTGCGGCGCTCCTGGCAAGGGGCAGCGCCAGCCTCATCCTGGTGGGGGGCTGGGTCAGGGCTGGGCTCAGAACAGGGGGGAGTCTGGCAGGCTCAGCTGCAAGCCCTGCTGCAAGCAGCCCGGGCTCCGTGGGTGGTAGTAGCTACCAGAGCCTGGGCCGGCTGCAGTTGGGAGGCTGTAAACAGCTGCTCTGGGCTCCAGCATCAGCTCCATACCGGCATGTGCACGCACTCCTTGGAGCGGACGGTGGGGATAGGGGCTGAGGCAGCACAGCTCTCCCACAGTCCACTCTGAGGTGCATGTGCAGTTGCCAGCAGCATGGACCTGATGCCGGGGCTGTGGAGCCCCGTGCAGCTATTTGCAGCCTGCCCGCTGCCTGCTGCAGATGCCCTAGGCTGGCTACAAACAGCTGTGCTGGGCTCCAGAGCCCAGTCATCAGCAATGTGCTGGCAGCAGGGAAGAGGCCGGGGTTGCAGTGCCTCAGGTCCCTCCCACACCGTCTGCTCCAGTGTGGACACACGCACACACCCGCCAGTACTGGTGCGCACACACCCGCCAGTATGGAGCTGATGCCAGAGCCCGGAGCAGATGTTTGCAGCCTCCTGGCTGCAACCGGCCTAGGCTCTGGGTAGCTGCTGTCTACCACAGAGCCCGGTCTGCTTGCAGCAGGGCTTACAGCCTCCCAGCTGCTTGCTGGGAGCAGCCCAGGCTGGCAGTGGTGTGCTGAGCAAAATGGCCTCGCGTGCCATGCTCGACGCATGTGCTGGGGGTTGCTGACCCCTGATGTAGGATGTAAATCTTATTGATAGGAGTTTCCTGATGGGCTTGGGAAAATGAACCACTTCATGGATGTAGACACTGAACTATTGAAGGATGTGGAGATTGAACACGTTATGCAAAAAGAATGGGGCCATCAGCATCAGGATCTTGGATTTGCCTACAAAATCCTTTGTTTGTTTGTTTGTTTCCTAGTGCTGTTATTCTTCTCCTGTCTTTATGTTCCCTTTCTCTCCTATTTGTATACCCTCTTGTTCCTCGCTTCTTTAAATTGTTAAAACTGGGATCAGCATTGATTCAAATATGATTGAAGGGATTTAGCAAGCATAAAAGTCTCAACATTTTTATAGATATATTCTTGCACCTATGAACTAGTGAGAATTTTCCATTGAGCCCAAAGCTAAAATTCTTTTCTTCCAGCTCAGTCTTTTGTGTGTGTTTTGGGTGTCAAAGGGGGTGTTGTTTATTTTTTGTTTTGATTTGCTATAAGTTATTTTGTTTTGCCTTTTTTGCTCCCTTGTTGTTTGAAATGAGATCTACTGTGCAAAACATTTTCTTTCCTTCCATAAAATGCTTTTATGATATAGCACAAGGGGAGCATTTAGATTCTCAAATTTGAATCAGCATACCTGAGTAAATTCCACAGTAAAAGATGCATGGTTTTTTTTTCACCAAAAACATATGCCTTGTGATATATTTTTGGGAGTGATTACTGCATTTCATGGATGCTTGAACTCCTAGAATCTATCTCATAATGTACTAGATGAGATGTATTTTGAAATAATCTGTTTTGTCATGCTATTTGAAATATTATCCTACCATTGAAATTGTATTGGTAATTAATGATTTTTTAAAAATAAAAGCCAGTATTGACTGGTTCTGCACATTATTTCTTTTAAGGAGTTGATTTTCAAATGAAAAGGCTTATTGTTGATGGAGAGCCTACGGTGCTACAGCTGTGGGATACAGCAGGACAAGAGAGGTTAGTAGTACACAACTTATCTAGGAAATAGATTTGAATTGGTTTGTTTCTTATTGAAGATTTTGCAATGGTTTTTGGCCTCGTTTTTCTTCTTTAAAGTGGAAGAAAAATAATAACTGTTTCACATTCTGATTGCATCTTCATCTCCCATTAAGGTCTTTAAATGCCAGTTCCTGTTGAGCATGATAATTTGTCTCCTCTGTGGTATCCACAGACTTTAAGCAGAGCATAGCAAACTTGCCCAAATTGCTGAGTTCCCATAAAAGGATCTGATAATTAGTTGTTTAGTTGTTTAAATGCCATAAAATCCTTAAAGTTCCTGCAGTACAGAGAGCCAAACTGTTTAGGAGGCAGCATTGCTTCGTCAGCATGGCAAGTTTATGATGCATCTCAATTGTGTTCTGAAAATCCCATTCTAGTTCTTAGTTTCTGAGCAGGTTACATTATGTTTATGAAGAAGGACGGTCCCATTAGAGTGAGAGACTAGCGTAACTCCATTGGCTTCATATTTTTGTATTGCATTTGCAAGAGCATACACATGCAACCATGTCATCCAAAATCTAATGCAAATCACCCGTCTTCCAACGGTCATAAAGTACTGTTTACTGAAGAATGTTGGCTGTTATTACTGTAAAGTCCTTCAGGTGATAATGGAATGTTTATAGAAATGCATAGATAATTTGCAGAAACCTTTCTGTGAAATCAGTGTAATGTGCAATTTTGCCACACCTAGCATAGGCAGGAGACATGAGTAGGAGAACAGGCTAGTGCCCTAAAAATTCATTTTTAATGGTATTGTATGAGAACTATGTTTTTAAAATGTTGTTTTAAATAGATCTTTTTTTCCTAAAAGATTCCGGAGTATTGCTAAATCATACTTCAGAAGAGCAGATGGAGTGCTACTGTTGTATGATGTGACATGTGAAAAAAGTTTTCTTAATGTACGAGAATGGGTGGATATGATTGCGGTAAGAACTTTAAATTTACAAAATTGGCAAGGTTCACTTTATAGTGTAGCTGTGAAATATTTATCATTGGCATTTCTCATGGGAGAACCACAGAGCCCTTTTTGAGAGACTTTTCTTGTTTTTAAATCTGAATTAAACAGATCATGTTGCAGAATTGGCCAAACTCCAGTTTCCACTAATTACAGACATTAATTGTATATAGTCTTCAAGGTAAAAGGTACTAAATTTTAGTTAGTGTAAGCTAGTTTTCTCCCATTTAAATTGGCCAGCTGTAGTGTTTGGTGTTAGAACACGCCATGTAATCAGCACCATTTCCATGATGTTCATTTTAACTAATTTCAGATACCTTATTGTGGATGGGCTTAATGTACTCTGGGGCCTCTGCACACTAGAAAATACAATGCATCCTCCAGACTAGCCATCATTGCTGTAAAGCACAGCAGTGTTTTCTCATATTGCCTTTTGTTATCTTGTATATTTCTCTTGTGTTTACTTTTAGCTGAATAACAATTTGTATTTAATGAAAAGGACTTCCTTCCTTCAGCTGAAGATATTTAGTAGAAGGAAGTGATCATCATAAAACTAGTCTGTTTCTAGGATAATTGTATTATATAATATGGAAAAAACAACATTGTTAATTTCTATAAGATATCCCTACTGTGCAACATAAATGTATTCACTTTTTGATAGGCTCACTATTATATTAATTATCTGAAGACACAGACTCTTATATAGAAAGTGTGCAAGACTGGATATTTTGTTTTTAATTATCTTATGTCAATGTTGCAGTATTTATAGATTTTATTTTTGGTGGGTGGAGGTAATATGATTATATGATCCAGTAAATGGCAGTTTATTGGATGATTTTTGTATTCCGAGTATTCCAGTGGTAAAGAAAATATGTATTTCTTGCAGGATGCAACTGGTGAAAATATTCCGATCATGATGGTGGGAAACAAGGCAGATCTTCGTCAAACAGTTTTAGAGCAAGGGCAAAAATGTGTACCAGTAAACTATGGAGAAAAATTGGCTATGGTAAGGCTATATTTCCGTGTTTCAAATGGAAGAGTTTAAAGCTAAGGACTGGATGAAATGATAGGAAAAGTCACCTTATAGTCACTAGTGGGATCTGGTCTTGAGTGGCAGCTAGTGGATACTTAAGTTAGTGAATATTTATTGTTACCAAACAATGGTTATTTGTTGATCTAGGTGAAACGAGTTGTTTTTTTCAAAGCAGCACTAATGAGGTCATCAAGAAATGTATGAGCCTGAAGACTGACAGATGGGTAACTTGAAATTTTGGTGCTGTGTTTGGTATAGGGTGTGAGGAAGAAGAGCATGTGCTTCCCTGCCCAGGGGCTGCCACGGTTGTAGTGGCATGGGCTACTGCCACCTTTGCACAAGCTCTTTAAATAGGAGCTGCAGTGGCAGCAGCAGCACAGGTTCCCTGGGGGCTGCTATTCTGGCACCCCCTCAGACTTGGTGTCTGCTTGCTCCCTGCCCCCTTCCCCAAATTAAGCTATGTGAAAACCGAGCCTAACCCTTCCTTTGAGAGGAGGAGTCTCTCGTGTACAAGTTTTGAGGCACATTGATGAGAGAATGTGGAAATCAACTTACCTTGTATCTGTATGTCTTCTGTAGATGAAGCACTTCAGTTTTCAAGGGGATAACTGGAAACCAACCTCTCCATCAGCCATGACTGTAGCAGTTCTGTAGTGGTTGGTGGC